CGTCCCAGCAAGCCGCTGTCATCGCTGTCGCTGCCGACACCGGTGCCAGCGCTCTTGGTATCGTTCAGACGGCCTTGGCAGTTGGAGTGCCTTCGTCAATTGCAAGCTTCGTTGCCGCTGCGGCCGACTTGGCGGCGGGCGTCGGTGCCGATGCTATTACCAGTGCTCCTATTGCGGATATCATTGCTGCCGCGCATGACGCTGGTGCTTCCTTGCAGCAAGCAGTCGCTGTGGCCGATGCCGCGTCGTCGGGTGTCACGGGTACGGATCTTGTGAACGTCGCGCTTGACTCTGGCGTGTCTCCAGCCCTTGCTGGAACGGTTGCTACCGCTGTGGCGGAGGCAGCTGCAACCCCGGCACCTATCGCCGTTGTCATTCAAACGGCGTTGGATTCGGGTGCGAGCTTGAACCAAGCCGCCATCATTGCCACAGCAGTGGAATCCGGTGCCAGTCAAGTTGGCATCCTCAGTGCGGCGCTCGCGGCGGGTGTCTCCCCCAAGGATGCCATTGTCATTGCCTCGGCTGTGGTCTCAAGCAACGGCTCTGGTACGGGGTCGCTTGCCGCCCAAACAAAAGCCGTGTTCAACGCTGCTGAAGGCACGGGCGCTAGCCCCGAGCAAGCTGCGGTGCTCGCAGTCGCGATCCAAACCGGTGCGACTGAGGCTGAGATTGCCGACATTATCAAGAACAACGGCGTCGGCTCATTGAAGGCTGACATCATCGCCTCGACGCTGAGTGCGCTTAGCCCTGGCAGCGCGACCAACATTGAAAAGGTCGACGAGCCTGAAAAGATCATCTCGAACAGCGAGGACGCCGGTATTCCGCCGGGAGTCGCCGCGGAGATCGCTGTTGCTGCCGGTCAGGGCGAGACAAAGCAGCAAATCGAGCAACTTGGCGTTGACGCTGGTATCTCGGCCCAGATCGTGTCGAACATTTTTGCCGGCATCTCCACGGGGTCCCACAAATCCGAGCCGGAACCGGCCACCGACGACAACACGTTGCCTGCGTATCACTTTACGCCGGCGCCGACGGCCGTGGGCACCGAAGTCGACACGCCATCCACGACCGGCGGTGTGTTCCAAAACATTGTCGCCTATTTGACGTCGGCGCCCGCGAAGCCGAGCCTCCGATCGCGTCCGCAGTGCGCGCCGACGGCGTAAACAGAGACGTCTCCTTGTCGAGTGATAATTGTAAGCGTATATTGTTCCATTGACATGTGTAGTGACTAGCAATCTCCTTCTTCATTCGCTCACCGGGCTGTGGCTGCGTGAGCGGCGGTGCGGGGGCTCCTCTTGTTGTTCTGTGGTCGTCCGGGGGCGATTGTGGCCGCGAGTGGGGCCCATGACGACACGCTGTATAAAGGCTTTCCAGGCTTCGCTGTCGGCGGCAAAGCCTCGCAGTTTGCTTGGGTCATCGAGAGACGCCAACAACTGAGGCGGCGTCAACGACTGGAGGTCACTGTGCACGACGATCGGCAACGTGATCTTGGTGCGGCATTATCTACCAGAATTGTCGTACTAAAGTGCGGGAAAATATGACATTGCGTTGAATCAAATCACAACCGCATTTCATTAACTAATGTGCGGAATGCGCTCAATATCATTTGTGACGTCGTGCAATTTGATCAAAGAATTTGTTTTATTCCCTGTAATTTGATCGCCGACGGTGGACTTGTCACGGTACCGATACCGACCGGTACAAAACCATGCACTATATTGCGAGGTCGTCGCCTTCGAAGCCGACGACGCGGTGCTTCACGTCATGTCGACAGCGTACATGAATAACTTCGAGGGCGATCGTGTATTACCGGTACTGTACCGGTACAGGGTACACTTTCACCCTCGAAGTTACATGGCGCAACTCCACAAGTCCATCGAAGTACACGCAGTACTTCGATATGCACAAGCCCGTGGCCAGCCACTGCGTTATAACACTCGTTCTGGCGCGTAACATACTGGCAGCCACGTCGACCAATGGCATCAAAGCATTTTCCAAAAAGGCAACAAGTCGATGGTGCTCTACGTCATTGGCCTCGGGCTCGGCGATGAGACAGACATCACGGTGCGCGGCCTCAACGCGATCAAGACGTGTGACAAGGTCTTCCTCGAGAACTACACGTCGATCCTCGGCATCGACCACAAGCTCTTGGTACACCCTCTACGCGCTACTCATGACGCGAAAATCTCATGCAGCAATGCTCTAGACCGAGTACTATGGCCGCGAAGTCATCTTGGCCGACCGCGAGTGCGTCGAGTCCGGCGCCGAAGTCATCTACGAGCAGGCCAAGGACAAGAACATTGCGTTCCTCGTCGTCGGCGATCCGTTCTGGTACGGGCATCGATCCTCGCTGTGTCGTCACACTCGTCAATTGCATGTAGCGCGACGACGCACACGGATTTGATCTTGCGCGCCCAAGAAATCGGTGCGCGCGTTGAAGTCATCCACAACGCGTCTGTCATGGGCGCTGCCGGCGCCTGCGGCCTCCAGGTTCGATTGCTCGGTGCCACTCGTCGAATCTCATGCACCGCCAGCTCTACCACTATGGCCAAACCGTCTCGATTCCGTTCTTCACCGAAGGCTGGCGCCCCGATAGCTTCTACGACAAAGTCGCTTTCAACCGCAAGGGCGGTTTGCACACGCTCTGCCTCCTTGGTACCGCGCCATGGCCATGTTCTTGTTTGACTCATGTATGCCGCAGACATCAAGGTCAAG